GGCCCCCCGTCCCGGCGCTCCGAGTACAGAGTGATCGTCTCGGGTGAGTCATTGCTCTGTCGCGGACCAACTGCTCCCCCGGGGCCCTGCGGGCGCGCGGCCCACACGGGGGGGATGCTGCTGCTGCGAGGGATTGGGGAAGCAGCATCACCACGCGATAGGAGGGAGGAAAAGTGTCCCCGCGGGGCTGAGCGCTGCATCCCGAACAGGCAGTGAGCAGCCTGAGCTGGAAGGGGCCCACGAGGGTCGTAGGATCACAGAATGGTTTGGTTTGGAAGAGGCCATAAAGAGCATCTTAATTCCAACTCCTGCCGTGGGCAGGGACATCTCCCACCAGCCCAGGTTCTCCAAGCCCCATCCAGCCTGACCTGGAACATTCCCAGGGATGGAGCAGCCATAGCTGCTCTGGGCAACCTGTGCCAGTGCCTCAGCACCTCATAGGGAAGGATTTCTTCCTAATACCTAGTCCAGTCCCACTCCTGACTCTGCAGAGCTCCAGCAATCCACTCTGTGCCTGAGAGCATTGGCCAAACACTCTCTGAGCTCCGTCAGGCCTGGGGCTATGACCACTGCCCTGGAGAGCTGTTCAGTGCCCAAACACCTCTGGGGGAAGAACCTTATTCTAACATCCAACCTAAACCTGTTCCAGTGCCCAAACACCTCTGGAGGAGCAAACCTTTCCCTGATACCCAACCTAATGACGTCTCCTGCCGTTCCCTGTGGTACTGGGGTACCACCGTCCCTCCTGGGCTGTACGTGCAGGAGCTGTGTGCCGTGCTGAAGTGCTTTGTTTCTCGTCCCCAGGGCTGCCTCCGAGCGGGAGCTGGCAGGATCTAAAGGATCACATGCGTGAGGCAGGTGATGTATGTTATGCTGATGTTTTCCGAGATGGCACTGGTGTCGTGGAGTTTGTGCGGAAGGAAGACATGACCTACGCGGTGCGAAAGCTGGATAACACTAAGTTTAGATCGCACGAGGTAGGTCCCCCACTTTACTGTCTTTGGCCAGAATTGGATACAAGGGGCTTAACAAGGTGGGACCCCAGGTAAGGAAGGTGTGGCGTTCCCCGTGTGCTCCGGAGCGGCCGAGTAAGCGTGTGCAGGGCGAGGCGTGAGCTGTCTGTCTGTCTGTGCGGCCGTGACGCTGTCAGCATGCCTGAGACGTGGCCCCGCAGCCTCCACGTGTCGATCCAAAGTTGTGTCTGTCCAATAGGGAGAAACTGCCTACATCCGGGTTAAAGTTGATGGCCCACGGAGCCCGAGCTATGGAAGATCGCGGTCCCGCAGCCGCAGTCGTAGCAGGAGCCGTAGTCGAAGCAACAGCAGGAGCCGCAGTTATTCCCCGCGGAGGAGCAGAGGATCTCCACGCTACTCTCCCCGCCACAGCAGATCCCGCTCTCGTACATAAACATCACTAGCTGATCTTTTTGTAGAACCCCACGTTGTACACAGTTTTCCTTTACTCAGTACAGTCTCTCATTACGATATATTTTTTTTTTAAAAAAAAAAACCCTCCAACTGTTTTACTCGAATTGGCTGAAGTGTTGAATTGCATTTCTTGTGTAAAAAAAAACCCCTAGTGAGTATTTGCTCCTCAACATCGACATTCCCCCTCCTGTCTTTGGTAAATTGTATTTTAATTGCTGTCAGTCAGGATTGTTCTGGTTTAGTTCTAGTTCAATACCAACCTTTCCTGGAGCTGTGGTATTGCTGTGTAAATGTCTCAGTGTTCCGCTGTGGTCGAGATGAGCTGGGGATGTTTGGGGTGTTTTGTGGCTAACTTGTCTCTTCTGGGGGATCTTATATTTTATCTTGCCTTTTCGTGTGTCTTTCTGTAGACATATCTGAAGAGATGGATTAAGAATGCTTTGGATTAAAGGATTGTGGAGCACATGTCAATCATTTTAGGATTGTCAAAAGGAGGATTGAGGAGGATCAGATCAATAATGGAGGCAATGGTATGACTCCAAGTGCTATTGTCACAGATGAACTTGGCAGTATTGACCTTATACCGAGAGACAGTGAATTGAGGCCGAGCACCTACGTGTCCCCACGGGTCGCTTCAGGCATGTTCTCGTGACCACAGGCTGCAATTGCTCTTGTCTTTAAAAACACCTCTTCCTGGGGGGGCAGTTGTGGCCAAATCCTGCTGTTTGTAACTGTCCCATCCTAGTTTCCCATGGGAGTAATCGGGGCCGGGGGGAGCACTGGTTTACCTGTCACGCAGTGTCTGGTTACAAGTGTCGTGTCTGTAGTCTCTGTACACTTGTAGTAGAACTCGCAATCCGAGTATAATATCAATACTGCTAAAATCTGCATGTCCTCTGTGTGACTGATACAGCGTGGCTGTTGCATTTTATAAGTACCAGAATGAAACCAAAACACATAGCAAAACCTAGCGGGGAGTAACGTGAGCGCCAGCCCTGCCCCTCGGACTAATGCACCTCTGGCTCCCAATCCATGTGGGAACGCCTCTTACCGTTCCCTGAGCTGGGAGAGCAGCTCTAGTCCAGCCATTCCGCAGTAGGTGGATGAGAGATTGAGCAGTTTAAGCTTTTCCAGTCTAATGCAGACCGTTTTTTGCAAGCACCAAGCCTCGTAGCCCGGCAGCGTAGGAGCGATGAGTATGTTGGCATTTCCAGTGGGCATATTGTAAATATTGACAATGTTTCCTCCAAATAGTAATTAACATTTCTGAAAGAGAATTATCTTGAGCATCACCATTGGAAAGTTTGTTTTGGGGAATTGATAGTTATTAATGTACATCTGAATTAATTGATGGCAAACATAACTGATCATTCCCCAGAATCCTATTTTTTCATTACAGTATCTAACTTTTTGCCTCCTCTTTTTTGGTTTTGCTGGTTATAAAGGTTTGGATTGGAGAGGGCTCACTGGATCCCAATCCTTGGAGCTGGATCATTGGATTCAAATCATAATGTGGATAGGATAGGGAGGCTGAATTACAAGGATTCATGGAGCGGGATCAAATTACCAGGAACATAGGAGTGGATTCCTGCCCCAACCAAACCGCATTCGTGTGGATTTTTTTATTCAACTCAATTGGCTATTCCAAAGATATTTTTGTTCCTATTTTTGACGATTGGAGCCCTTAAGATGCACGATGGAGTTTTGCATTTTTTTGGTAAAAGGAGCAAAGCGAGGACCTGGAGAGGTACGCTGGAGCAGTCTCCTTGGAAGGATTCAGCACGAGTAGATGGTAAACCTTAAAGGGGAAAAAGGGGGGTTTGTTTATAAAAAGTCATTTCTCTAAATTTAAAGACAAAATTGGAGCTAACGATGAAGTAGGTTTCAATTGGCCATTGCCTTTTTCTTTGACAAATAAAATTTTTACAAAAACAAGTCCTGGTGTCATCCTTGGTCCTGGAGCCTCAGCGTCGCCTCGGGAATCGGCTCCAGACAAAGAGCTTTTGTGTGGGGCAGAGCCAGAGCTGCTCCTCAGTAACGGAGCAGCTCCCTGGGAAATGGGTGGAATTCAGCATGCTGGGAGGGGGAAAGGAGGAATTCTCACTGCTGCAAGGAGGAGCAGTTGGTGTTGCTAATAGATCCCGTGGTGACAAGGGAGATTGATGGGCTCGGCACTTGTCCATCCAACACTCGTGAGAGTCAGTGGGGGCAGAACTCTAGAGCCATTCCTGGTGCCACGGCGGGTGTGGGGGGTGAGGCTGAGGGATGGAGTTGGGATATTCCGCAGGGAGTGGCACCCCTGAGTTGCCCAGGCTGGGCTGGAGCGAGGCTGGGACCCCGTGGGGACCCGGTGGGATGCTGAGGTGGCTCCTGCCAGGGAAGGTGGGAAATGGGAGCAGAGTGGGCAGTGCGGCACCACAACACAGGTGTGTGCTGGGGAACTGCAGGAGGTTGAGCCCCAAAACCCCCAAACTCTGAGGACTGATGTGTTCTGGCACTGCTGGTGGGGAATGCTGGAACTGGGGCAGTTTTAAAGCCAAGGTTATGGGTGAGCTCAGGGAAGCAAAACCTGTTTCACAGAAGGAAACCTGAAGAGTTTGGGTTGCCAAAGGTGGAGCTGGGAGAGGATACTCTGGCTCCTGAAGGAAGTGACCTACAGGCAGGAGGGGCATGGGATCCTGACAGGCACAGGGATTAACAGTGCCAAGGTCTGACCCAGGCAGGAAGGCTGGAACAGGGAATTACCTGCACAAGGAGTGTGTTGGAGCTGCAGGAAGGCTGGAACAGGGAATTACCTGCACAAGGAGTGTGTTGGAGCTGCAGGAAGGCTGGAACAGGGAATTACCTGCACAAGGAGTGTGTTGGAGCTGCAGGAAGGCTGGAACAGGGAATTACCTGCACAAGGAGTGTGTTGGAGCTGCAGGAAGGCTGGAACAGGGAATTACCTGCACAAGGAGTGTGTTGGAGCTGCAGGAAGGCTGGAACAGGGAATTACCTGCACAAGGAGTGTGTTGGAGCTGCAGGAAGGCTGGAACAGGGAATTACCTGCACAAGGAGTGTGTTGGAGCTGCAGGAAGGCTGGAACAGGGAATTACCTGCACAAGGAGTGTGTTGGAGCTGCAGGAAGGCTGGAACAGGGAATTACCTGCACAAGGAGTGTGTTGGAGCTGCAGGAAGGCTGGAACAGGGAATTACCTGCACAAGGAGTGTGTTGGAGCTGCAGGAAGTCTGGAATGTGCTGAGCCTGGCGCTGGAACGCTGGCGGGTGTGGATGTGCTTCAGTTCTCACCTGTGTGTGTGGATAAACCACTGGAGCGGGAAATACCTGAGGATTGTTTGCTTCAGAGATTATCTCCGGGTGGTTTGGATCGGCCCATGGAAAGGCTGATCCTCCCGGGGGACACGGGAGGGCACTGGCTCCAAGGAGGAGGCAGTAGCAGAGTGGAGGTTACAGGCTTGGTGTGCAGCACAGGAGGCTGCAATGCTCCCTGTGTTTGCATTTCACCTGGGAAATGGAAGGGAATAGAGCATTGATGGGTTCTATCTCCCGTTTCAGCTTTCCACACAGAGGGGAGAGGTCAGGTCAGTGCAGCAGGAGCTGCTGATCCGTGTTCTGCTGCTGCTCCTCTGCCCCAGTGTCACCTGTTTGCTTTGTTCCCGTGGCCCAGCCCTGGGTGCCCCGTGGCACTGCT